CCAGGGGGGGGGTCCTGGGAGACCGCTATTCCCACACCCATGGGTGTCCCCATGGGGGTCCCGGCTACCCTGCGGGCTCCCAGAGCCGCCGGGTGCATCCAGCTCCTTGGGATGTGCCCAGCTCCCATGGGTGCCCCAGCTCCCTTAGGTGCCCCAGATCCCCACGGCCGTCCCCAGCTGCCAGGGACGTTCCCATTGCTTGTGGGTGTCCCTGACCCCCGCCAGAACCAGGGAGTGCCCCCTGTTCTCTGGGTGCTCCCACATCCCTTGGGTGCTCCCAGCTCCTGTGGGTGCTCCCAGCTCTCCAGGATGCCCTGAGCTCCCCGGGATGCTCCAGGTTCTTTGGACGCGCCCAGCTCCCACAGATGCCCCCATCACCAATGGGTGCCCCTGGCTTTTCTGGGGGCTCTCACATCCCTTGGCTGCTCCCAGCTCTTTTAAGCTCCCCCAGCTGCTCCCGTGGGTGCCCCAGCTCCTCTGGAAGCTCCTGGGCTCCCTTGGAAGCCCCAATTCCCCAGGGTGCTCCCAGCTCCTTTGGATGCTCCCAGCTCCCATGGATGCCCCAACCCCTCAGGACCCCCAGTGCCAGCGCAGGTCCGGGGAAGCCTGGAGAGAGCCCCAGGCTGCGGTGGCAGCGCGGGGACAAAGCGCCGCTGTGAGGCCTCAATGCCCCATGCGGTGCCAGGCGCCGGCAGCCCCACGGCTGGCACCCCCCGCCGGCCCTGGCACCGGCCCATGCGGGGGGGAAAGGAGAGCGACTCCGGCGCCACGAGGCCTCGGCCGCAGCCGCGGATGCCTCCTGCAGCCCTCGGGGGCCTCGCGGGGGCCCCGGCCCCGAGGGTCCCCATGGAACAATAAACGCTGGCAGCTCGGGATGTGCGGGCACAGGGATGCTCGGCTGCAGGGATGCTCAGTCACAGGGATGCACGGCCATGGGAATGCTTGGCTCTAGGGATGCTCAGTCACAGGGATGCTTGGCTGTAGGGATCCTTGGCCACAGGGATGCTTGGCTGTAGGGTTGCGTGGCCGTGGGCATGCTTGGCTACAGGGATCCTCAGCTTTGGGGATGCTCAGGCGCGGGGATGCTCAGCCTAGGGATGTGTGGGCCCAGGGATACACAGCTGCAGGGATGCTGGGCCACGGGAATGCTCGGCTGTAGGGATGTTCAGCTGCAGGGGTGCTTGGCCACAGGGATACACAGACGTAGGGGTGCTCGGCCATAGGGATGCACAGCTGTAGGGATGCTCAGCTGCAGGGATGCTCAGCCGTAGGAATGCTCAGCCGTAGGGATGCTTGTCTGTAGGGATGCTCTGCCATAGGGATGCCCGGCTGTAGGGCTGCTCCATGCCACTGGCCACAAAGGCATCACTGCAGCAGGACGGAAAACCCAGACCCGCTTTACCACCTCCTGCTGCTCCCGGAGCCTCCCAGACCTGGAAAAGCTTTTAAAAACCATCCCACTAAAGTGCAGCAGGGCCTGCGGCCTCACACATCCTTCAGAAAGTCCTGCTGCTTCCCTCTATTTTTCCCACCCCCCAGTGCATTCTCATTTTGCATTGCAAAGGAGCGACCCCAGGGCCCAGCCATGTTGCAATCCCTGCAAAAACGGGGCATTTTCCCCATTGCCCCCAGGGCTCTGCGGTGGCTCCTTCGCAGCGTGTCGGGCAGCGCTGTCACGCAGCACCGCTCGCCTCTATTTTTAGGTGGCCGCTTTGGAGCATCAGGCTCCAGTTTGGCTGGGTTTTG